GCTCTCCAAACCCACCAGCGCCCACCCTTGCAGATAAGCCCATGCAGATGAACCAGGCGCTCTTCAAGGCCGGTGGGCACTGCGGCTACGTGCTGCAGCCGAGCACCATGCGTGATGACGTCTTCGACCCCTTTGACAAAGGCAGCCTCCGGGGCCTGGAGCCCTGTGCCGTCTGCATCGAGGTGGGTACTGCTGGGCTGGGCACCCAGGTGAGCATGGCGGGTGGGAAGCAGAGTACACAGTGTTTTCTTGGTCTTGGGGGGCCAGTGGGGGTGTAGTTGTCACTCATTGGGCTGCAATCCGCATGGCCGCCAACTGGAAACCAGCAGCAGCCCCGAGGGAGAATGACAGGGCTTCTTACTCCGGTAAACAGCTAGTCTCAGAAACCCACCCGGGTCACTGTGAGTTTGGTTTGGGTTGGTCTCTGAAGTGTGGGCTGAATTCGGCTTCAGCCTGGCCTGCCCGGGGCCCAGCAGGGGGCGCACTCCCTCCACAACCCTGTGGGAGGGAAGAAGGGAGCCCGGAGGTATTCAGCTGCCTCTGCCTGCCCACACAGGTGCTGGGGGCCCGACACCTGCCCAAGAACGGCCGGGGCATCGTGTGCCCTTTCGTGGAGATCGAAGTGGCCGGAGCAGAGTACGACAGCATCAAGCAGAAGACGGAATTTGTGGGTGCGTGTGTCCCGCCCGCTTTGCGTGGCCCTGGCCCCCGCTTGCCCTGGCCCTGCCCACCCTGCCTAAAGCTGAGCCTCTGCCCTTACCTCTGCAGTGGACAATGGGCTGAACCCTGTGTGGCCTGCCAAGCCCCTCCACTTCCAGATCAGCAACCCCGAGTTTGCCTTCCTGCGCTTCGTGGTGTATGAGGAGGACATGTTCAGCGACCAGAACTTCTTGGCGCAGGCAACCTTCCCCGTGAAGGGTCTGAAGACAGGTGAGACCCCCCCCCACCAGGGTGACCACCGAGTTGGGGAGAAGGCGGCTGCCCACGCCCCGGCTGAGCGTGTTGCCTCTCCAGGGTACAGAGCCGTGCCTTTGAGAAACAACTACAGCGAGGACCTGGAGCTGGCCTCGCTGCTCGTCAAGATCGACGTCTTCCCGGCCAAGGTAACTGGGATTGGGGGCGATGGGGGGAAGGGAGGCACGGCCTGCGTGGCCCAAGGAGTCACACCCTACCACCTGCCTCCTGCTGAAGCAGGAGAACGGTGATCTCAGCCCCTTTGGTGGGACCTCGCTGCGGGAGCGGGGCGCTGATGCCCCTGGCCAGCTGTTCCACAGCCGCGCCCGGGAGGGCTCCTTTGAGGCCCGCTACCAGCAGCCCTTTGAGGACCTGCGCATCTCCCAGGAGCAGCTGGCCGACCACTTCGACGGGCGGGAACGGAGGTGAGCGAGGGAGTAGAGGGGGCTGGTCTCTGGGCAGTGCCCCTTCCTCTATGGAGAAGTCAGTGGGGGGCTCCCGTTGTTCCCTGCAGGGCGCCGCGGAGGACTCGGGTCAACGGAGACCACCGCCTGTAGTAGGTGACTGGCAGCAGCCGGCCCTGCGTGCCTCTTGGAAGGCCACCACCCGGTTCTCCGTAGGCAGCGCCCCCGCTGCCGGCCTTCCGGCCTCGCCTGGAGCTTTAATCCAGCAGTGAGCACTAGACAGAACCCAAGCCATTCGTGAGATGAGTCCTGGCTGGCTGCCACGCCGCCAAGTGAGGCAGGAACTGCACGGAGGCTCGAGTTAAGCACACACCTGGCCCCGGCCTCTGGAGATGGAGCCTTCCATCTTGCGGGGCCACGACCATGGCCGCCCCTCTGGGAGAGGCGCCTCAAGAGGCACCTGGGTTCCAGGGACTCGGAGGAGAGGGAGGAGCGCCACGCCGCGCCGCGCCTCCTCGCCAGCCAGGCCAGGCCGGGCACACCACGTTTACATTGTCCTGTAGCTTTAAAACCACAGCCGGGCAGGTGAGTGGCCCGCCGGAGGGACAGGCCTGCCTCACAGAGGACACAGCACAAGGGCATGCTGCCCGTGGCCGGGCACGCGGCCCCAGCCTGAGACACAAGGGGATTAATGGAAAATAGCAGTATTATTTTCTTCTCAGCGGTATTGTAATAAGTAAGTTATTTCCTCCTGCCCAGGGCCCCTGAGGGCCCCCTGGGGTGAGGCCAGTGCAGGTGCACTGCACTGGGTGGGAGGGGAGACAAGCAGAAACCTTGGGCGACTCCATGTTTTCCCACGGGGACCAAAAAGAGGAGGTATCTGTACCTCCCAGGCCAGTGGGGACCAGCCACAACGTTGGGCTCCCTGCTTCAAAGGACAGAGGCTGGGGTCCAGGCCCATGGGCACCAGGCGTCCCCAGCATAGCCACCATTCAGCACACGCTCACCCACTGCCCACATGTGGGCCCAGGGGTGGCCATTTGCTATTTCTGCTGCCCTCCGGCGACCTGACTGCCAAATAAACCAGCCTCACGCCCTTGTCCTCACATGTGTGCACTCTTGGGGGGCTTGGGAGAGCCTGCTGGCCTCGGGCTTCAGAGGATCATTCTAGAGTAAGAAGCCCCTCACAGTCCCACAGAAGCCTTCTCAGAAAACAGCGTTTGGATGTGGGTGGCCCACGAGCCTCGAGCTAAGAACCAAGCGTTCTGGGCCCGGTTGTGATTGGAGGGGCCGCCTCCCCAGTTCTTTGCCCACACAGTGCCGGGCACACAGGGTGGTTCCAGGCTGTAGAACCAGCCAGAGGAAGGTCGTCACAGGCTGGCTTTCGTGAGGCTCATCCGTGCTACCCCTGGCACACCAAGACCAGGTGGTGGCTTAGGAGAGATGGGAGGTATCAGAATTGCAGGTGTCAAATGCCCCTTTCCTGTGTGGCAAACCAGACTGGTGCCATTAGTTTCCCAGAGTGCGCAAGCCAGCCAGTCCTGGTTCATGCCAGGCTTCTGGTGTCACCCACAAAAATGGACTGCAGGGGTGCTCGCCCGACTGGCCGGACGGCTCCTCGTGGTTCTGGGGAAAGACTGCCCCAGCAGAAACCGGGGCTGCGTGGGCTTGCCCAGTCTGTCTCGTTATGGCCGTGGTGAGTACGTACGTATCTGGGTGGTGGCTGCGTGGCTCAACGCTCCATGAAGCCAGAGGGGCTTCAGAGGCCAGGCCTGGGGGTCTGCTGCCAGAATCCCGAGAGCAGTTGCAGGAGTCGGGCTTGTCTAAATCAGCAGCCTGTCTGTAACAAAACCTGGGCCATTTCCACCTTGGTGACACTGTTCATAGTGTGCCACTGCTGTCCATCCCGGTCTTTCTCGGTCAGCTCTAATGGCTCAGCACCCCCCCACCCCCAGCTGCTGCTGACCGCACGCAGGCATACCTGTTAGCCCAGCAAAGGCCCCGGTGGGGAGCTCGGGCTTCTGTAGAGGCTGTCCTGTGGGAAGGTCAGAGAATTGAGGGCCGCCCTCCACCCTTGCTATTACCAAGTCCCTGTGGCCTCATTGCTCACCAAGTGCTTCACCTGAAGGCCAGACCTGGGGCTCCTGGCAACCTTTCACGCCAGGCCACCTTGCCCCTCGCTGCCATGCCCAGTCCTTCTAAAGGACAAATGGGAAGGTCGTTCCCAGCTGCTCCAGGTTCCCGGGCCTGGGGCAGGCCCTGTGAGTGTGCCTGCCGCCTCCTCTGAGCCCAATCAGCACTGTGCCCTCAACCCGACGCCTTAAAATCCAAGCCTGGGCCCAGCTCAGGCCCCTGGAGATTCGGGGAGAAGCTGGCTGAGAAGTACAGACTGGGCCAAGAAACTAAAGTGAACAGGTATGGGGTGGGGATTCCCAGTAAGGTCCACTGCCCCCAGGGGTGAGTGCACCCAGGACGGCCACAGGCTGGGGACTTCCTGCAGCCCCGCACACCGGACGAAAGAGGCCTTTGTTCTAAAGGCTGTCCTATGGGGAGGTAGTGGGAGCTGTTTCACTTGGAGGAAGAATTGGGGGCTGCCCCTCCCCCACTGCTCTATGAAGTACCTGTGGCTCTGCTCCTGACCAAGCATGCCACCTGAAGACTTGAGCCCACCTCCCCGTTCTGTAAAGCACAAGGGTGGCATCAGGGTCTCCCGCCATGCTAAGAAAAGTACATTCGTGCATCTACTGCCCTGGTAATGTAGTAGGCTAGAGCTATTAGAGCTATTAGTCAGTGGTTCAAACATACCAGCCGCTCTTCCAGAGACGGACGAGGCTCTCTGCTCCCATAAAGATTTAGAGCCTTGGAGATCCACAGGGGCAGTTCTCTGCCCGACTAGGGTTTCTCTTGAGTTGCAATTGACTTCATGGCACTGACTTTCACATTGAAAAGGATCAAAGTTCCGCCTCAGTCCAAGTGCCCACTCCTCCCTGGGTGGTCCCCCCTTGCCAGTACCCAAGGTATTCATGTCTAGTCAGTCCAAGTGTCCTCACTGCCAGGCTGCTGCAGCAGCTGCCCCTGGTGAACCTACAGTGACCCCAGCTGGCCTCCACTGGCCACTCCATCCCAGCTGTGTTGTCTGAGAGCTGTACCACCGGGGCTCAGCTGAGGGGCTTCAGGGCCCACCTCGGCTTGGCCAGCTCCCAAGGGACTAGCTTGCTTGGATTTATCATACAGTTGCTTTCCTGAGACCTTGGTTGGCATCTCGGAGAGACAAACTCTGGCATCTACCTGGACTGAGATCACTGGGCGATGCCTCTCCCCAGGCCCTTGTGGCCACCACCTGGGCCCGTGCGATGGATCGTGGAAGTGGGAGTCCTTGAAGTGGGAGTCCTTGCCTTTTTCTCCAGAAGCCCCCCACCTTAGCAGATGACCAGCACTCTTGCCAGCACCTCCCTCAGAAGGAATGCTTGGTGGGTGTCCTTCCACCAGGTGAGTGTTTGGTAACCCAGGTATGGCCCCATTGTCTCTAGACCACTTGTAACAGGCAGGTGGCGCACTCACTCACACGAGCTCCCTGCAGCTGGGAAGTGGTTGAAGCCGATTTCCTGACGCATGCCCCCCTCCCTAAAGAAGTCAGCGATGTGAAACAGTTTTTTTTATTTAGGAACAGCCGAGAGGTTTAAAGTATCATTTAGGCCCATTTCAAACTGTACAAGCAGCTTCTCCCCACTCCCCTCCCTTGTCCAAAGCCACAGGTATAAAATTTATGAAATGTGCAATTTGCATCTTAGAAATAGCAGCATCCCCACAGGGGACCATGTGGGATGCGGGGACTCAGTCCCCGAGGACCACCCCGCTCCCCCATCCCAGCACAGCCACAGGCTGAACTCCGGGCACACTTGGCTCCCTACCAAGCGGGGACCCTCCTGAACCATTGCACCCAGGCCTAGTGGTGGGCCGTTGGAGGGGCAAGACCCTCCTGTGGAGACCACCCTTTGGCTAAAGGGTCGGCCTGCCTCAGGACAAGGGGCCATGGCCTCTGACTAGCACCAAGACGTCACTTCAAGCAAAGTGCTTGGAGGGGCACCCCGCCCTGCACCGAGGAGGCCTGCCGGCTGGAACCCTCATCCCACAGGACCGAGGAGACTGCCAGCCGGGCACCCTCCCGGCTCACTGGGCTCAATGAACAGTGGCTGGCGAGGGAGGGAAGTTGGCGTGTTTTCTTACCAACAATTCTGGCTCCGTCTGACCCCCTGAAATGGCTGGACAAAGCAGCTGCTCAGAAGCACTTTGGGAACCGCTGCCCAAGACCGCCTGCCTCTCCTGGCTCTGTGGTAGGAATGGTGGGGGCAATGGCTCGTAAGCCCACGTGCTGAGCATAGCAATTCTAACCTCTGAACCTCGCTGCTGCCCAGAGCAGTCAGTGACTCTGCCTTGGTCCAGACGTGCCACCTTCCAGGCCGCCCCACTGAAATAGGCATTTGTCATGGAAAGAAGCCGAGGTCAGTTGAAAAGCATTAACTGAGAAAAGCTATTCATTAGCATACTCGGGTGTTTGCTCACCCCCACCTTCCCAGTGGGACCTGCAGCAGAAATGAACACTAATCCAAGCTGTTGGTGGAGCCACAGGGCTGGCCCTGTGATGTGGTGGTGGCGGCGGCAGAAGCGCCAGAGCCCCCGCATCTTGGCTCTGTCCCGTCATAACTGCTACAGACGCAGCCCCACGAGGGGAGGGGCCTTGGGGTCCACAACTTCCTGCTTTCTCGGGTGTTTAGACTGCTCTACAGTTTAGTGTCCCCCAGACCACACTAAGATAACCCCCAAAGGGCTGGGGAGGGAGAGAAGCAAGCCGGGGCCAGAGCCCCTGAGGAGCAGGCAGCCCCACACCTGCCTGTCCAGGGTGGAGCTGGAGCAGACCGTGGGAGGCTACAGGCAGGTAAGTGACAGCTTAAGGGGATCCCGGGAGCCCAGCTCCTACCGCAGAGGCACTCTGAACAAGGACCAGTGGACTGGAGCAGGACGGTATTCCTGCTGGGCTCTGGAAAGACACCAGGACAGGAGCCGCACACGCAGGGAGCAGGGCCAGCCTGCACTGGGGTCGCGAGGGCCACTCAGTGCTGAGCAGGACAAAACACACGAGTCGCCTCCGTTGGGGTCAGTGCTCAGCAGCACATCCTGTGGTCACTGGGAACGAGCCCAATAGCAGGTGGGGGCCAGCAAGGGCTCCGCCCAGCAGGTTGGGTCTCATACCACCGGTGCATCGGCAGGGACAGCAGCACTCAGCTATTTAATGGCAAACCCAAGCACCAACAGTGCAGTCCCTTCTGAAGCCGTGCACCCCCAAACCAAAAAGCTCCCCCAGAGTCAAAAGTCCACCAAGCTACCAGCTAGCTAGGTCTGTTTCACCAGCACAAATGTCCCCACAAGGCCGCCTGGGTCAGAATGCCTGGTTTCATCTACCGAAAGCGGGCCTACAGTGCCATTGAAAGTGGGGTGAGTCAAACGCGGACAAGACGTGAGCAACAGAAGGCACAGGCCACCAGACTGACCCCGTCCAGTGCTCTCAGGCAGGGAGGCTGGGCCACTTGGGACTCAGGTCTTCAAGAGACTGAACTCCAGCCCACCCCTCAACTCCACCTCCCTCAGGAGGTAACAGCAAATACCCCTCCCTCACACTACACTACACACACAATATGGGGAACCACATGGTCAGTCTGGCCACTGCCTGCTGGGACTAGAGCTGCCCCGAACCCTGCCACCTCACCTCAGGGCTGCACCCTGGGGGCAATTCCAGTGCTTATGTGTTGTCATGTGCCCTGCTTTTGTCCCTGCAGCCCTGGGCACCTGCCAGTCTCCTTATCAATACCAACATGATAGCCCAGTCCTGGCCCACCACCTGTAAGTTCACTCCAACACGCTCAGCCCCTGAGTCCCACTGGGCTCGTCTGCCGTGCCGGTGGCTCTTCTCTGGGCTGTAAATACAGTGAATACAAATCCAATGATCAAGGAAACCCTCTCTCTCCGGCCTAGGCCCGGGGCAGGGTGGGGACGGGGACAGGGCGAGGCAGCATTGGCACCTCACAGCGTTTGTGCGGCCTCGGTCTTCCAGTGACCGGGTCTGATGCGTGCTGTCTAATCGATCAAAGGAGTATTTGCACTGCGCGTGTCGGCACCTAACAAGCTGTAAGCACATAAACATTTGAGGGGGAATGCCAGGTGTCTGGCCTCTGAAGGTGGGAGACTAGTGCTATTCAGGCTCGGGGGAAATCCTCAGAAATGTGCTGGAGCCACACAGCTCTCAGCCTCAAAATGGAAAAGATGCAAAAATGGGTTAAAACAACAAAACACCTTGCCAAGTGCTCACAGGTCATCAGGTAAGAGGAGAAACTTAACTGACAGTTTCCTACCTTCTGGAAGGCAGGGCTATCTACCATGCCCGTCTACCCACCATCCTCTGGACCAGGCCAGTGACTGGTCCTGCCCAGTCCGGTCTCCTGGGAGACGAGAGGACAGAGCCCAAAGGACTACCAGTGTCTCTCACTTAAAGCCCTGGGATCTGCTAGTGCCGCCCACTCACCTGGCCCCTTCCCATGTCCCAGGACAGGTGGCCTGACAGGAAGCAGGTGTGGGGATGGCTGCCTGTGTCCCACCACCTCTGTGCAGCCCTGCAAGTGGGATCACGGCACACTCACGTGGTCTCACGTCCAACCTGGACACGAGGGCCCAGGCTACAGGAGCTGGAGGAGACATGTTTCCAGGTCTGGGGATACAGATGGACCACTGCTGCACACCTCCCAATGCCATCTCATGACGTCCACTGTAGGGTGGGCCCTTGGTGTGGAGGGCCGGCGGGCAGTGTGAGCATTTTGCAAGCCATCCACACACACTGGTCTTTGCTGAAGGCTGCACCATCTCTGGTCACATCCACTGCTGGGCCTGCTGGTTCTTCTCCAGCCAGGGGAGACCACGTGGGCATGGGGCCAGGGCTCCAAGAAACCAGGTGATCAACGGTCGGCCCTGGCCACACAGCTTCACTTGTCTTCCTGCCCCTCGTTTGCCGTCGTCGCAGGGCTCCCTGCTCCGAGGGTTGGGGTGGGAGACACTGGCAGGCACGCGGATCCGTGCACCGGGCTTAACGAGCACGTTCTTGGTGGGTCTGGTGGCGGGAGTTGTCCGTGACTTGAGGTGCCCATGAGAGCAGACCCAGCCCACCGGCTGGGGAGAGCAGAGGCTCCCTGAGGGACAGAGAGCACAATGACGCACGGGGGCGCCAGGCAAAGCGGAGTGTGAGGACCCTCGCCCACTCTGGTGCTAGGCTACGTGCGGGACCCTACAGCACCGCTGGGTGGGGGTGGGGCACAGACACGGTATTTTCAGAGAAGGGATCCAAGAGGGTGCGCTGTTTGCTAACCAAAGTTTCTATGTAATGACTTTATAACCTGATGCTTTTATTAACTGTGTTTAAGTGGATGTGTATCTTATGAGAGCTGATTCTGTGTTCATGAAGAGGGAATATGAACTATCTTACGCGCTGGAAGGCAGAGGAAGGGTCCTACAGTTGGGCGGGAGGAGGGGTGTGAACGCCCATGTGCTCCTTCGGAGTAGGGGGTGCGGGTAGCAGCCGATGGTGGTGGCTCTGGCTGGCTGTGAGACCACTGGACACGTCTCAGTGCCCAGGGGCGGGGCATGGGGACGGCAGCAGAGTTGGGCTTGGCCCTTCCATGTGGTAGACGGCATCCCAGACTGGCCAGTCCTTCACAGTAATCGGTTCCAATTCAGTCTGTTTCTGAAGAGAAAACACGCCCGTCACATCCATGTCAGTCCCCCTCAAACAGTCCCCAAGATGGCTGGTCCTGGCCACGCAGGGTGGCTCCTGGGACCACTTACCTCCACATGCGGAGCCTTCCTGCCGGTGACTCCTCCACTCCTGCTGCGCTGGTGGGTTATGGTGGGATGCAGCCTGGTCTAGCCAGGCCTCTGCTAGACAGGGGCACCCCCACCCAGCCCAGGGTGGTCCCTGTGAGCAGCAGCTCTTCCCCAGCTGGGCTGCGCAGGGCTCCAACTCCAGGGCCCTGTCCCCAGTGTGCCTCGCCTTCCCCTCTTGCTGCAGACCACACAGTGCGGTCACAGCACGGGGCCCAGCCTATGACACTGGCCCCATGGACCCTTCACTTCAAGCTCCCCACCCAGAGCCGTGGGCTGGTCATCGGAGGCGCCTAGGAGTGGCTGCTACCACGGCCATCTGGGGAAGTCTGCCGTACTCCCTGCCTGCCTCAGAGGAAATGGGCAATGCTGCTACAATGCTGTGGCCACCCCAGCCACTGTGATGGTGGCACTGTGCTGTGTGTGTGCCCCAAACCCACAGCCCCATCTTGGGCCCGGCTTACATAACAGGTATTCATAGACCCAAGTGCTCGTGAGCAGGACCACAGGTGGCCCAGAGCTGGGTGCAGAGGGGGACATAGAGCCCAACAAAGGCAAAGCCTCTGGGCCGACAGGAGCAGACAGCCTGCTCTGCTTCCAGAGGTTGGCCTGCACACAGCCTCCCTCCCAGCGCGTGCCCACAGGCACCACCAGCTGTGACTTAGAGCTAGCTGGGTGGAGAGGACGTGGCCGGGGCCAGCAAGCAGCCGTCTGTCTGTCTGTGGGCCTGTGGCTCACCCCGGCTGTGGCAGCGCCCGGGGCTCCTGCCCCTGCGGCTCTGCGGGCAGGCCTCCCCAGGCTGGGAGCGCCAGATGGACAGCATGGCGCTCGTCCAAAGCCGTGGGCAAACTTGGAAATCTCGCCTTCCGGACATAAGAAACAATAGCATAGCTATGTTGCAAAATCGTCTTCTCTAAGTTTAAAACATCCCAAGAAAGTGCAGGAATTGTGCCCTTTTGACATGTCCTGGGAGCCTGAGTGGCATAGGGGTTAAGCGCTCGGTGGGACTCAGCAGTGAGGGAGGAGGTGGTGGCGGCCTGAGAACCTTCTGAGGGTAGTGCTCCCTGCCCTAGCCCGCTGTGTCGTGGAGAGGCTGGGGTGACAGTCCTGGGCAAAGTGACAGGAAGGAGAAAGCTGGGGGCTGTCAGGCCAAAGAGGACAAATGGGTAACAGCAGTGCTCAGCAGGGGTGCAGAGGCCGAGAGGGGTGGGCAGTGTCTAGGATGCTAAGGGCCCTCACCCAGTGATGAGGTGGCTCCTGACAACATCCCCACTTCACGCAGCCACTCAGCCAGCAGCACACACCGCCCCTTCAGCTTCCTGAACTCAAGCCCCCAGCCCCTCCAACACAGCTCCCTCCAGCCCCACCACCACCTCCCAGACCTTCCAACGCACAGCAGTGCCTTCCAGGGGGGCCCACAGGCAGCAGGTGCAAACCATCCTGTCCCCAGTGGGCGTCATGAAGGTGATCTACCCTCACCCACCATTCCAGTCTGAAACCTGGACTCTACTTTCCCTCTCAACCACCAAGACCCTACTCTCAGCTACCAAACCCACAGAGCCGGAGGGACCTTTCCACTGAAGGAACTGCTGCGGGGCCTCGGGGGCCCTTGCTACATCTCCCCCACAAACCTGAATTCATTACGGATCTCCCAAATCCGTGCCCACTCGGCCGCCCGTGTGACTCTCTGAAGCCAGCACCAGGAGACTACTGTTTGGGCCCATCCATCAAAGACCCAAGGACTGTCAGCTCAGAGGTGCAGAGAAGTTCTCTATCAAACTCCTGTCGGCCGACACCTGGCTGGCCCTGGACTGCGAGCGGAAAAAGCACCCAGTGGACACGCTGGCCGGACTCCTCCAAACACAGGTCCCTAGTGGACCTTCAGTTCAATCGCTTTGCCAGTGTTTTTAATCATTAAAAGTGGTCTACTATGTACCACCCAGGAATGCTCATGTAAAGTAACTGTAACTGAAAACAATGGTTTTAAACCACAGAATAAACTGGTCTGCACCCAGAGTGCTCTAGGCCTAAGAAATCCACATCTATGCGGTTTTATGAGTAGAGTCCGAGTCGGGGCCGGGCATTCCACAGGCGGCAGGGCTAAGGGTCCCTGGCCCCTGGCCGCGAGGCCCCACCTGGAGCCTGTGCCCCACGCCCTGCTCTGTGTTGGGGGCCTAGAGGTCAAGTCCAGAAAGAACATTCCCCACTTCCAAGGGTTCCCATGCCAGAGGATCCGAGAACTCGGATCCTTCATCCGTCTCCATGGCCTCTCCTCAAGAGCCCAGCGGTGTCTCTCCCAACCACCCTGAACAGACAGATGCCCAATGTAGGCAGCCGGGGAAGAAAGCCGGGAAATCAGTGCCAAGTAAGGGCACCATTACTGGCTTTCTTGCCTTCATCAATTTGAGCTTTCTTCAAAAGTCCCATTTCTCTCTTTCGTACTCAATGGCTATGGTTCTACCAGATTTGAACAGTATTTTGACCTTTCATGCTCCTTGAGCTTCCCTCCCTCAGAACCCTCCCTTCTGGGAAACCTCGACAAAGGCCGGGCCTCTCTCTGCAGTGTCACCATGCTCTTTCCCTGTGAAGGCTGGAAGGTTTGAACCCAGCCCTCCCCTGATCCCATGGCTCCTACCCCCACCCCCCACCCCTGCCAGCCTTCCAGGCCAAAGCTGCCCACTGGGTGACAGCCCACCCCCAGTGCCTCTCCCCGCCACTGCCACCGCCCCCGTGGGTGATGAGTCCTTACCCAGCTGGAGTCCAGCCTGGGGACTGGAGGTGTCCAAGGGCTCCGAGCTGGCCTCAGGGGCACTAGGCTCCCCCCACGACTCCTCAGACACCTCTGAACAGGTGTCGACTGTTGTCCCTTTGTGCACTGCCGCGGGCTCACCGCTGCTGGGGCCCTGCTCCTCACTGCCCATGTCCGCCGCCACTGCCCGGGTCTCCTCGCCCATTTTCTCAGCGAACCACTGCTTGACCTGCTGGGCGTTCATCTGGGTCTTGTCGCAGAGGGTCTGCAGTTCCTCGTCGCCGAGCGTCTGGTGCGTGACGTAATAGTCTTGCAGCAATTCCCGCAGGCCGGGGCCAATGACCAGCAGCCCCGGCGGGAAGTTGCCCCGCTTGTAGTCTTCGTACCACTTGAGCTGGCCGTTCTTCAGGGCGTACCTGCTGTCCCCGAACCAGCGCACCACCTCCGACCTGGGCAGACCCGTCTGGGCCATGACGGCGTCGTAGTCCTGGCTGCTGGGCCACTGCGTCTGGACGAAGAGCTGCCGCAGCAGGTGCCGCTGCTGGGCCGTCTTTCTGCAGCTCCCCTTGCCCGGGGGCTGCTCGGCCGGCTTGCTGGCCCAGTCCTCCTCGGCCTCACAGGGGGTGCCCAGCGCGAGGAGCTCGCCCTGGCCGTTGGCCTCTGTGACCCGCAGGTTCTTGAGGTTGATTTTGATGGGGCTGACCTTGCGCTCGGCCAGGGACTGGCTGCTCGGTCCCTCCAGGGAGCCGCTGTCACCGGGCTCCTCCTCCGCACCGCCGTCCTCCCTGGCCACCTCCTCCACCTGGGGGTGGCTCTCCTCCCTGCTCTCCTCGGCGGCACCGCCCCTCTTCCGCCTCTCCGAGAACCAGCTGTCAATCTCCCTCCGGGTCATTTTGGTCTCACCTCTCAGGCGGTCCAGCTCCTCGTCCAGAGGGCGCGGGTTTTGCGCGAAACTGCTCTCCAGGGCCCGGAGCTGCTCTGGGGCTCTCTCCTTGTATTTGGCCGGGGTGAAGTCAGGGGTCTGGTGCCAGGACTGCCGTTTCACCGCCGGGTGGGTCACCAGCGCGGCGGCCGCCGGGGAGACACAGGTCACCTCTGGGGGTGGCTTGGGCGGCGGGGCGAAGGGCACGTCCGGGGCGGCGTCCATGAGGATGGTGGCCTGGTCGCCGGGCACCATGGGTCGGGAGCCCTTCAGGTTGCGGCAGTGGTACCGCCGGTCGCTGAACCACTTCCGCACCTCTCTGGTGCTGAGGCCGGTCACTTTGGTCAGATGCTCCACCTCGCCCTGCCCGGGGAATTGGTTCCGACAGAAGCTCCCTTTCAGCGCCGACAGCTGCTGGTGAGACTTCTTGTTCTTGTAGAGGCCGGCGTCCAGGAAAGCCTGGGAAGTGATGCCCGGGCACGCCGTGAGGAGGGACTGCGCTGCGGTCACCACCTTCAAGGCCGCCGACGAAGACGACGTGTTGGCACACACCGTGTTCACGGGGGCCACGGTGGTGGGCTGCTTGGAGACAGACGTCACCGCGAGGGGGAGAGAGGAGCTGGGGGCTTGCAGCCCATTGGCCACCAGCGGCTGAGTGACCAGAAGCCCCCCGGCCGCGCCCTCCGGCTGTCCCACGACATGTCCTGGGAGCGCAGCTTGGATGAGGTGCTGCACGTTGCCAGGGTTGGGCACCAGGGGGGTATTGAGCACGGTGATTGTGGGCTGGGGCACCGACTGGATGACGGTATTGAACATCTTCTTGCGGGCGTCCTCGATCTCCTCTGGGGACCAGCTAATGCCCTGCTTCAGCCTCTGGGCGGTGAACCAGATCTTGAGCTGTTCCTCGGGATACTTGGTCACCACGGTCAAGTAGCAGAGCTCGGCTTTGGTGGGGTAGGGGAACTTGTGGAAGGAGTTCTTCAGGAAGCTGTTGGCGTCCATCGCCGCGTTGTACGTGGGAATGCTGCTCAGGGGGATCATCACTTTGGGCAGGGACTTGGACGTGGGCAGCGGCTGGTGGGCGTGGTGCTGGGCGTGCACCGGCGGGGGCTGCTGCAGCGAGAGGAACTGCGCTATCCCAGCGGGCAGAACGGGGACTGTGCCCGCCAGGGGCTCGCTGGCTGCTTGGGGCGGCTTTGCGGCGTTGGCAGGCGCCTGGCTAAGGGGAACGGGCCCGTTGGAGAAGGCGTGGTCCCCCTCTTTCACCTCCTTGTCCCCACCCGAGTGGGTGGGCGGCGCCTCGCCAGCCGCCGCCGGGCTCGGGAGGGCCTCCTTGAGCGTGTGGATTTTCTTGGCCTCGGCTTTGCCTTTCATTAGCTTCATGATTGGGGTTTTGGTGATGATGATTTCCGCGCCGGGCTCCCCAGGGAGGTCGGCGAAGCCGGCGCTCTCGGGGACGCTCTGTTCCACGACAACATGATTGTCTGGCCTGGCCACATTCCACACAAAGCTGGCTTCCCCCGAGTGGCACTTGGCATTGTGCAGGGAAAGCCCCTCGGGGGTTTTCGCCAGAAAGCTGCACTTGGTGCACACAAAAGCTGGGTCTTTATTAAAGTCGGTGTGCTCCGTGTTCATGTGTCCCACAAACTGGGTCACGTCCTGGGTCCTGAAGTCACAATGTCTGCAGGCATAGGAGTAGCCGTCCAAGGCGCCCCGGTGCCCATTGGCCAGCGCAGGGCCCTCGGTGCTGCTGGCGCCCTGGGCCACCTCACTGGCCGCTGCGGGGCCTTCCAGGGGCGGAGCCAGCTGAGGACCCTCGGCTGGAGCCTGGGCAGCGGGCTGAGCCTCTGCACCGGCTGCCTGCAGTGCCACCATCTTCACGGGGATCATGCAGGGCGGGGTGGACTTCCTCTTGCTGGCCATGGTGACCTCACTCTGGTGGCTTGGCTGCCACAGCTCGTCCCCGCGAAGGCCTCAAGGTCCCAGGTCCCTGGGCGCCATGAGGGCACGAAACTGTGACGACTTTTTCAGGTGTTGGCAGAAAGCAGTTCTTCGCAGTTAAACCTAAGGAGGTAGGAAAAAACCCACAAGTCAATGGGGGTCTCTGAAGCTCTGGGCATTTGTCCCCGCCCCAGTCACACCCAGGGATGGCCTATGTGGCCAGGTCTTTCCAGAGCAGGGCAGCAGTGGCCTGGACTGGCCAGCTGTATCAGGTGACCATGAAAAGCACACCTCTGGGCAGACTGCAGGTGGGATTTCTTCCATCAGGTGATGTGCACAGCCACGCGCTTGGCAGGTCACAGAGAACCAACATCACTTTCTGTATAACTGACAAACATTTACAACCGAGTAACAGTTATGTGCCCAGTGTATGAGTAAGTGTGTGTGTGGGGGGGGGGGGAGAGGGGGGTGTCAGCTTTCCAAACAAGTCACTGAGTCTTGTGGCTAATAGAGGGATAGAAAAACTGCCTTGCCGGCACGGTCTTTCACACTACTGCCAACCTGCTGCCCAGTCTGGGTGCACCCTGAGTTACTGAGCCTGTCTCTGCTTAGCAGACAGCAGAGAACTTGCACTTCTCCACTTCAGTGATTGTAAGCAACGGCTTAGTGGGCTGCCCCTAAGTGGACTGTACATATGTTGGGGCATTTGAGAATTTCTGAAGTTCTGAATTTCTTTCCAGTGGAACTGCTGAGCAAAGGGCTTCCCCAAACACTACACTGCCTTCCCAAGAGATGGTACTGACTCGCCCTCTCCTCCCCACTGGTGAGTGAGTGTCCGCACTCTCAGTGACTATTACCAGCAGGCTTGGTGTGTGCTCTGCTATACAGTAAGAGGTGGGTCACAGGGCGGGCCCAGGCAGTGTTTCCCTCTGCCACAGCCAGGCATCGGAACCAGCTGGACAGCACCTAGCAATTGCCTTAACCAGGAGGCTGAGCGCCTTCTTGCAGGTCACTGACAACTTGCGATAAAGATCTCTTGCCCATTTCCCCAAGGGAACTAGAGTTCTTGACATATTACGGAAACTGGTTCCTTGTCATCTGACAGAGATACAGCTATGATTTATGAATTGATTGCAAGGATGTCTCAATATTGGGAAATTTCTAAAGAGAATTAACTCCATTAATACATTAAAGAAGCAAAATCAAAACAGTGTTTAATCAGAGTACATGAATTCTCACTCTTAAGAAGATCGTAAGCATGAAGAACACAGCTAGGCATCGGGTATTCACAAGCAGCCACAGCAAACAGGACACCTAAGAGGGAAACCCTCCCGTCGAGGAGCTCAGTGTTCCTGTGGAGCTCGGTGACAGCACAGACAAAGGAAAGGGAATTCTGAGGCACAGACAGTAAAAAACAAAGTACCAACTAGTATTATTTGCTGTTGAGGGGACTATCCGCGTGTGAAAATTCCCTGGAAAACCATTAGAGCTAAGACGCCGAAGAAAATGCTAAGATACAGTAGCAACTCACAGAAAGCACCAATTGGAGACGAAGGAAGAAGGTGCACAGGGTGGGGTGGAGCATTCACATTTACAACCAAAGCTGGAAAAGCCCTCGGGGCAAACCTCACTAAGCTAGGTGCAAAATCTCCCAGACACTAACCACTCACCTGTACTAAGAACAAAAAGAGCACCTCTCAAAAGAGAGTCATAGCCGTTTCCTGGAGGTAAAGACCCAATCGGACAGAGAGGCTCCTTCTAATCTCTGAATTCAGCACAACTGAAATCACAGTTAAATGCCACCAAGTAGAACAAGCACTGTAATATGTTGGCAGGAAAAGCCGGGTGGTGAATATATGGAGGCTCACTCAAACATCTTTAAACTGCATGCTGGAACATGTGTGTGTATTTGTGTGTGCGTGTGTGTGTGTGTGTGTGTGTGTGTGTGTGTGTGTGTGTCAGGAAATGCTGTCAGGATTTTTATGGAATTTGACGAGTTGAATGTGGTTTCTCTGTAAGGAAAAAGCACAAACTAGTTTAAAATGTTTGAGAGGGAAGAAAATGTGCGGAAAAGCTGAGAGAATTCCCAGGGCGCACGAGGGGTCCAAGCATTGATCATTCAGGGAGGAAAGCAGCTCTGTTTTAAAGCAGTTGCAGAAGGGAGACAAATGAATAAGCATGGGGACAAGTAAGCTTGGTCCCTAATTCATGTAATAAAAACCTAGTCATTTCTAAGTAGATTCAACAGAGTAACAAGCAAAACTACAGGGAAGTGAGGGAAAAAATAGGAGAAAAAATATTTTAAGTTTATTTAAAATTTAAAAATTCTCCCCATGTAAGATTCAAAACCAGGAAATCTCAAAAACCAAAAAAAAAAAAAGGCGGAGATTTCATTACATAAGTATAATAAACCTCTGACTATCAAGAAAACCACAACAGGATACAACACAGGTGAGACACTAAGCTAAAATGAAAAATCCTTGTGTTATAAATAACTACTATTTACAATGTACAACTACATAAAATAAGACAAAAACATTAGAAAAAGGGGTAGAGAAAATGAGCAAGCAATATACACAAGCTATAGAGAAAATGCAATAAATGAGAAACGATGTTCCATCTCGTGAGTAATTAGGAGTTGAGGAAGAGATTGTCCCCTCAAACACCGGCAAAACTCAATCAGGGCCCATGTGCCATCAGTTAGAGAGCAAAGAGTTAAACTTTCTATGAAGCTCACCGAAGCAGTGGCCAGCAAACCGTCCCTGGCATATACTTAGACCCAGCCATGTCACCGCTAAGCACCCGCCCTGGGGAAGAACAGAAATAAGTACACACTTTCACCGGGATGTCCGTGTGCTGACTCATGCCCTACCTGTCAGCATGCACATGTCCAAATTGGAGCACACCTTCCAGAAGTGAAAGGTCCATTCACACGACGGCTAGCGTCGATGCACAGACCTCCCCAAGGCATAGTGCAACAGTAACACACCACACAACATGCTGACCTGCACATAATAGAGGATTATTGAATAAACAACAATCAATCCGCGTAGCATTGCACGAAGATGAACAGAGTAACAACAAAGAAATGCTCCATGAAACAGGGAGCGACTATTAGGCTTTGTTAGAGAGGATTTTTTTTTTATTCTATGCCTTCCATAGTGTGAGCATTTGTTGCAATTATTTGATGCTTTTGCAATTAAAAAATGACAGTAAGGATAAAAGTGAATTAAAATATTCGTGCCAGTAAGCTGTACACACCCTGCGAATTAGGTGGCCTGTACTGGGCCTGGTGGTGAGTTGGGTAGTTGTAATGGGACATGAACTACATATAGTGTGTGTGTGTCTGTCTGTCTGTCTGTCTGCCTGTGAGTGCACCTTGTCATCCTGGCAGATCAAGCAGCAGTGGTATCGAGGCTGGGTTGGAATGTCATCCTAATTGCTATCAATGCCTTCTCTTCCCGGACAGGCTTGGCTGCTGAGGTCCCTCCACTAGAACAGTAACGACTACCACAGGTCGCGGGCACCAGGGAGGCGGAGGGACTCTGACCACTCATCCCTCTCAATTTCGAAGCACTAACACTTTTGACGCTTCAGCACAAGGACCGTGAAACCATAACATTTATAAAAGTACAATTTAAGGCAGAATCTTCCGGTTGTGTATGGGTTTGGCACTCCAATAGCCCTAGGAATAAGCATCTTATTACATTCTGTGTGAAGCTGTATACAAAAGCTGAAAAATGAACCCCAGACAGGGAAATGTAAAAAATATATATATATTTTTTTAATGTACTGCCCCACAGGTGAAGAAGAAAAATCAGGTTCCCTTGTGAAATGAAACTTGCTTATTCAGTGCTGGCTGTAAATGATAAAACTTGTGTCTTTTAGAGTGATTGGTTGGCCTACTAAACCAAGGAATGCTGACGGTGGCGGTGGCTGGAACTGTGAACCATTCCACAACATTACTTATCACGGGTGGCACCGATGCCGCCAGTGTCTGTGGCCACAGCTGCAGCTAAGCCTGTCACAGACGAAGGAGCCACCAAGGCAATGGTGTCAGCCATCACTCAGGGCAGTGTCTCACCTCTCTACCATACCCTTTCCCTGTCCTTGGCCAGTGGGAGAGGGAGGAGCCCTGCGGGGGGAGCCTGTGCTGGGCCCTGTGTCGGGGTGGGGCAGGGGACTCTGCTCTTGGAGGCAGGTGGGGGCGGGGGGGGGGCAGTATTTGATGCCACAAATTATCCTAGGGACTGCACTGGAGCCAGTGCCACACTCGGAAGGGAATCAGTGCATTCCATCTCAAGAGACTTCTGAAGCTGAAGATAAGCGGGCAGGCAGGGGATCAATTTGCAGAGGTGGCGCCGCCACTAGAAAGAGAGTCCGGATGGGGAGTCCAGGGAAAGAAGCCTTCCTCCCCTTGGGGTCACTCACTGGGCACTGCGCTGCCCTAGAGCAGCCTGAGACTGGAGCCCCACGACGCCAGCCGGTTGCTCTGTGCCACGAAGGTCCCTTACACAGTCCATGCACGACACCTCCCCAAACAGAGCAGCCCCCACCCCTCCCGCCGATGGGAAGGCCTTGTTTGCAGGGTGCGTTCGAGGTGGGTCTCGGCAGCTGTGTGTGAGTCAAAGCCTGACCCCACGTCGGTGATCTCGTTTTTAATATTTTCTGCTGTGTTTCTGATGGAGGGTTTCCCCCATGCTGCCATTGCTCTTTGTTTGTATTTAGTCTTGATGTTCTGGATATGAAACCCGGATTAGGGAACCCTACAGAGACAACCACTGGATTGCTTGATTCAAAGGGACCTGGCAGGGAGGCTGAAGAGACAAGGGTGCTCATGACAGGGAGGACCAGGAGAAGCAAGGACCCGGGTGATGATTAGGGTGCTGGACGCACAGCTCCCATGAAGGTGACGGAAGGACAGACATGTATGATCTGTGCGCTCTATCTCTGTGAAGCTGTTAAAAAGAAACTAAGCTTAAAAACAAAACCCAAACAGGGCAGTTACTCTTTTTATCTATTGCACATAACCCACTTGTTCTGAATCATCTCTAAATTATAATCTCTAAATCTCCTAAAATAATCTTTCTATCCATAATCTACAGCTCTATCTAAGGAGGAAC